ACTTGGCAGCCATGCTTTCCAAGGAAGTCGAGGCCTAGAATGCACATGTCGGTAATTTCTGCTACCCACATCTTGTGTGGTAGAGTTAGCCCTCCAATACAAATTGAGAGCACCACCTCATTTCCTCACCACCTTTGGTCTGTAGCTCACGAGCACCACGTGTTGGAGTGGTATAACCTAGCATGTTTTCCTGGGGATGAGTCCCTCTCACCATCGGCTTAACTGTTGGTCCGCCAGCATGAACGATTCCAGCTCCAATGCGTATTGCTGAGCCTCTCTGAGGGATGATGGACACATTTAGCGAAGGTGAAGTCGCATGTCTTCCTGTGGGAGGGCGTTGATAAATTGATCCTTGGCTAGTACTTCAAGCATCGCAGCATCTGCTCCAGGATACGCGAGTGTTGCTCTACGTCCTCGGCCAACTCGGGCAATCTTTCGTCGCGTTGCCGTCGACGGTTGCGTAGTTGCAGAGCTCGGTCTGGTGAGCGGCTCCAAATCGTGCGTCTAGGGCAGTCGTCAGTGCTCCGTCTGCTGAGCACTGTAAGTGCTGACCCCTTCAGGTTAATTAATTGCGAGGTAGGTAGCGAGCTTTCTCGGCGTCACTCCAGCCGTTCAAATCAGCAAGCATAGCAAACTGTGCATCCAAGGCAGTACGGCCGTCGTATATACGGTGTCGGTCGTAAGGTACGAGTCCCTGTGGCGATACTACTTGTCCGGCCTCCTCCGGCTCCATGTCGTTCATCTGCAGATTCCTCTGTTGCCCCTGTATGTGTCGGCACGAACTCGTCTGCATCTGGCCGCATTCCTGCGCTCGGTCCGGAAGGTTCGACCTTCATATCATACGAACAGAAATAACTGTTTGATACGAACCACTTTGAAATAGCCCACCTAGCTTACAAAACCACAAACGTGCGCATTTTGAGCCGAGGGCTTGCACTTTAGTGCAACGTACCCCGCGGACATGACATAATGGAGCTAGAGCAAGCGATCGACAAGGCTGTTGAAGCAGTTGGTTTGCAGTCACTCAAGCCTCTAAAGCGCCATGTAATAAGCTCGTTTGTGTGACTGGAAATGTCCTTTTTGTGAGTCTTCTTACCGGTTTTGGCAAGTCTTGCAGGGTCTACGACACGTGCGTTAGTATTATAGCGCATAATGATATTCATCACAGTTGGGTGTAAAACCGCAACCACTCGACATAAGAACTGCATGTGTTTACGCGTGCGCATAATTATATTTTGTGAAGTGCAGTGCTGGGCATGCACCGACTACTTCGCGACCGGATGCTAAAATGGTGGACTTCACTGGGGAGCCTCCGGAGATCACTGCGCTTCGCAGAAATCTTACATCCATCAGTGACACGGTGACAATCGGAGACAATCTACAGTGGTTTTCAAACAACCTCGTGGAGAAAGCCTTCATTTCCCAACGTGTGGCGCAAGGAATAATCGCCACTGGCCAAGCCACCCCCTCGTACAAGGCCGGTCAACTTGTTGACAGCGTTTTCACTGTAATCCGAACGTCGGACAGGAAGAGACACTGGTTTGATGAGTTCGTCTCTATTTTCTCCACTGACCGAGCCTACGTGGAGCTCGTAAGGAAACTGAAACGCTACGTCCCCACAACAGAACAGCAACGACTACAATCTCTCACCTTTATAACCAGCTCTTCACAACCTGCGTCTAATTCAGCTCTACGGGTGTCTGTACCTCCAGCCACTGAGTCTCCTGGTCCATCATCCACCACTACATCATCTTCACCTTCCATCCCACTTTCACCCTCCCCCCACCACCCATCCTTCTGGAGTCTGGAGAAGGTCAAGGTCACCATCCCTCAACTGCAAAGGATGTTTGCTGACCTACATGCTGAGGTGGGAATGGAAATAAGAAAGAAGGAAGCCGAAGATGCCATGTTTCTTGAGAGGTTTCGAAGTTGTCTTCTACTTCTGCCTGTGCGTAAGGCAACGCTGCACGTGAAATTCTTCCGTGAATATGAAGATGACATTCTAGAAGCCAAGAGCACTAAAAAGATTGCGAGTGGCCGAGAGGTCGACGCAATAGATCATAACATCGACATTGCTGCACTTTATCTTGAGTTCGTTGAGATACTCATTGTCCTTTCCCTGGCCGTCCTCGAGACCAGGCGAGTCCCACACCACAACCTCTACGCCGTCCTCTGATGTTCCTTTGTAGCTCTGTATGTACTCAAAGCGATCTCGTAATATAAACTGGTCGTCAGTATTCGTTACACGTTTCCCTACGAGGGCATTTACGAGGGTAGACTTTCCTACGCCGGACGTTCCCGTTATGAGGATCTCCTGGCAGCTCATCGGTAATGACTGAATGAGACGACCTTTAGCAGTTGTACGTGATTTTATAATCTTCGATTTTGTGGGCGGATCGTCGCGTCACGCTGCGTGCGTCCGCAATAAAAACATCAGTGACACTTGAACCAACAGGAACTATATAGATCTCAGCAAATAATTTTGTTGGCGTCTGTGGGGCGGACAGTTCATTTCGATGAAATACGTCAATCCGCGATGAACGATTATTGTCCAGAATAACATTCCATATGTGCACACCATAATCATTACAACTTAGCGTTTGACGTTCAACTATTACACCACCAGGAAACGTTTACTGAATCTAGTAAACAACAGGAGTTGACAGACGCAGTATATATACAGCAGTACCCAAGTTGTTATTTACATTCACTGACAAGGAAAAGTAATGATGGCCAATAGCCATACTTGCATTTCCTATGATAGTAATTAACGACACGTTGTGTATCGTACTCTACATTACATTACAACAAGTGCTTCTGTCCATTAATTCCTCTGAAATACTTCTCAGTGAAGAGTTTTTAACTTGACCGCCTTGTAAATTAACAGTAGCTGCAGTTCCAGATCTTCCTCCCTGGCTTAAATTGTGTTGTAGATGGTCTGCTGTCGACGGGAGTGTTGCAGATGTCAGGATAACATGCCAGAGTGCACTGAGCCAATTCTCTCGACCAGGGAGGCGTGGCTTTGTTCTATGTCCAGCTGGCTCTACTGGCATTTTGTAAGCTACTTCTTCTGGCACACCGGTTTCGATCAATGTGGCATGAATTCGCTCTTTCCAATCTTGCAGTCTATCGTTGAACCTCTTCTCGACATTGGGTTTAACTTTTAGTGCTGTTTCCAGTACGTTTGCACGTGTCATGACGAATATGGAGCGTTTCCACCAGTTAGAGCCAAAAGTCGTAGTCAGCTTTTGTATTGTGGATTGGTCGTTTTGTGCGATTTCTGCAGCTGTTAATCCACTGGAGCGAGTAGCTGAGATGTCGATGCAATAGACGACGGTGCTGACATTGCTGCACTTTCCCTTCAGGTCGGCGAGACATTCTTCGTTTTCCGAGCCGTTCTGAAGGCCAGGCGAGTCCCACACCACAACCTCTACGCCCTCCATCTCGTGCTCCGTCGACCGAGCCATCGACTCGGCACGAAGCATTTGGTGGCCAGTCTTCGCGGCAGGTTTACCCACGAGAGCGCCAACGAGCGTAGATTTGCCTACTCCTGGCGTCCCTGTTATGACGATCTCAATCCGCTTCTTGCTGCTCATTGGTGCCTATAGCGGTCCACCGGTCAACCACGTAAGTATAGGTAGCTAGGCGCTGCGCCTCGATCCACGGCAGCACCACCACCGCACTATCAGTCCACTCAAACCCCTGCCAACGGCACCTTATCCACTGTTCCGCTGACTGTCCGTTACAAAGCCAAGGAAGTACGGGACTCACTTCTACTCTTTCCAAACGCCCTTTTTGTAGTAGCAACCTATGTTTTCTCCTGATGACGCATCAATATTTCGTGACCAAAAGGGTAGTGGCTGCAGTTATACACCACAGGAATCCTCTGGATGCGCGAACTGTGCGATAAAAAGTTTGCCTGTAAGCCATATATAGATGCACCGAGCTATGTATTAATTTATATAAGCTAGTGGTAACGGTACCCACGCAAACTAGTGAATATTTGTCATTCTGCTGTGCATGAGTGCAAAAAAATGGGTGTGTAAATAAGGAGATGCATTGAGCAGGAAAACTGCATACATCTTCTGCTTTATGTGATCGTAGCTCCCTCTGGAGGTCGTTTTACTTTACAAAGAGGTCGGTCCACTTTACTATGTAAGACTGACGAACTCCCTCGAGGAAACACCTGTTCTGCTTGCGGTGCATGAGCGCAGAGGTCGTAGAGTGACGGCCGAGTGTAGCGGTCCTGTGCCAACGCCCGGTATATAGACCGGGACTGCTGCTGTTCTTAGCAGCCATGTTGTCGGCCTTGTTCTCTCGCCCAATTGTCGACCTCTAGTGTATGTAGACCGACCTCCTCATCGACCGCGCGCATTTGAGTACACGCCCAAAAAGAGCGCGCTGGTATGCCGGATGGAGGGGCGGATATAAAATCAAAACTCCTGATCTCCGTTGAGTACTTGCGCCACTACTCGGAGGGCCGCTAGTTCAGAAGCAAGCCTCAATTCAAGGATGAGCTACAACAAGGAACGGATTGATATCCTCATCACGGGGACACATAGAACAGGAAAATCTATGCTTGTTGAAGCTCTCGTAGGTAAATCTGTAACGAAGACAGGCAGCCAATTATTACGCGTCGGGTCGAATAATGTGACAGAATACGAAGCGAAAATGGAAGAGATGGAGGTTGTGGTGTGGAGGTCGACAGGTCTCCGGGACGGCTCGGGAAAGGAGGAAGCATATCTCGCCAAGCTGAAGGAAAAGTGCAGCAATGTTAGCACCGTCATATATTGCATCGACATCTCAGCTACCAGCCCCAGTGCTGCAGAGAAAGCGCTTTCCGCGATAAAGAAGCTAACATCGACTTTTGGCTCTAAGTGGTGGAAGCGCTCCATATTCGTCATGACACGTGCAAACGTACTGGAAACAGCAAAACCAGATGTCGAGAAGAGGTTCAACGATAGACTGCAAGATTGGAAAAAGCGAATTCATGCCACATTGATCGAAACCGGTGTGCCAGAAGAAGTAGCTTACAAAATACCAGTAGAGCCAGCCGGACATCCAAAGAAGCCGCGCCTCCCTGGTCGAGAGAATTGGCTCAGTGCACTCCGGCGTGTTATCCTGACATCTGCGTCACTCCCGTCGACAACAGACGAAGCTGATATACCGCATCAGAAACCGGTGGACCAACGTTTAAACCTGCAAGGCTACGAACTGCCACGCAAAAAGTGTAAGGCAAGCCATGACCTACTACGCAAAGGAAACACGGAAGGCCACGAGGCCCCGCCCGGAGAAGCGGAAGCGCACGAACACCAACGAGAAGAGGAAAATGAACCACCATTCGAAGTGGGTATGGTCATGGAGGTAAATGAAGTCCTAGCTGGAGAGAGTAAGGACACGCCGGGAATGAACCACCATGGGAGGGGGAGATGGTGTAATGATGACGGGGACAACCAGGGGCAGCGAAGCCTACGCTTTTTGGCGTTATCGTCGGAACTGAGACTGGTAGCCCATCATCAAGCATGGTGTCGACGGACCAATGAAATAACGACG